TGCAGCAACTTCAAGCCTAACTCCATCGGCCGGCCGGACCTTGGAGCATCTTGGAGAGAAAAATCTCCTTTCTTGAACTTGGCCATCCAGGTCTTGCACGTTTCGTAAGAGATAGCGTCAGCGCCATATGTATCCACTATCTTGGCTTGGGCTTCCTTTGCGTTTAAGCCAGACTGATGAAGGAAAAGAAGACAGTGCCTCAGGTGCATCCTGTCGGGTTGAAACTTGGGCGGCATTTTGGAATCCAAATGCAAGCTGGGTGAGTGTGAGGTAGTGATGTGAAAGTCTCTTGCGTGCTTCATGCACACCCCACGATAAGTCATAAACATGCATCAAGGCTAGGTGCAACATAATCACTGAGGGAAACTTTCCCGGTCAACCTAATACTTGTACAGGATACTGATAGCCATCAGTTCAACAAGACCAACCACTATAGCTCGAACAGCTCGAGGAGAAAAATTAGAAAAAGGAGAAAGAAAAATAATACCAACCACTATAGCTCGAACAGCTCGAGGAGAAAAAAAAAGAAAAATAAAAGCCTGCATATAGAGGTTATTAACGGCCCTGACACCGGTTCGACCTTGCGATTGGCGCCTAGGCCACTGGCGCCAATGTGGCTCTGAACACCTCCCCCCCCTAACTGCGGGATATGCTGCGAGAATCACCTGAGAAACTACAATGCTACCTCACTGTGTGCCAAATAAAATCCTTTTTTCACCTTGACTTGTATTGTATTCCGATGCAGTATCGACGAAAGTCTCATTTGCTATGCACACTACCTCCGCATTAGAAATAGAAAAAAAGCCTGAAAAAATGGTTCAAAATAGATTTCACCTCAGCAAACGTTACGCTCATTTTTGACCTTCCCAGAAATGCATAGCAAAAACGAAACCCATTTTTGTGATCCCTATATGGACCCCTACAACATGCAACAAACCATTTCTGAAAAGCGCGCCACGACCTGAAAGACCTCCCTTGTGAAGAGCTCGAATCTGAGTTTGTTCGTCTTGGGAGAGAGTACTACCACGACGAGGCATGAGTACAGCGTAATGGGAAGTAGAAGCGATAAAAATAGATTGCAGATTTGGGCCAAACTTTGGACTTTCTCAGGTATCCACATACTTTTGGTACAAGAAGGAAATTCTATTCAAAAATTTGTTGTGAAAATGAAGCTTCGCTATTGCTCAAGTACTCAATTATAGGGTTATCGGCCACGAGGAATCGACTGAGGAAGGGATCCCTATCAAGAAAATTTTTGGTTACATTTTAAAACTAGATTTTGAGGTGTCCACATAATTTTGTTACGCACTGTATGTGGCGACTTTGCTAGATGCTCAGAATTACACGCTGATTTTGGAACACTGACAGCGCCGCATACACCTGACGTATGTTTGCCTTCTTTGCTTAAAGGCAGTTGGCACGATGGTTCTACTACCTTAGCCTTAAAGACAGCCCCCGCGATCAAAGTGGCTCGTGGTCGCCTTTGCTGTGCAAGTAGTCTAGCCTCCAAGCTAGAAGACTGTTCACCTTTCGCGACTCTATTGTGAGCGTGGAGGCTGCTATAGCCGCTCAAAGTGCTAGTTCTAACTCCTCCTCAGTCGGACCGCCTTTACTTGCTAGATGTCCTCCGACGGAGGCCACTCACTTGTTCTTAGTTGGGGCGGCGGGCATTGCTAATGCCCCTGGATAATTCTGCTCTCCTTCATTACAGTTTACTCATTGGAGGTATATACATTCAATTCAACCCATTTCGCGAGGTGAAACGCGTAAAAAACACGAGTGACGCAATTTTCGTGATGCAAAACCACGACGCACAAAAGGTGCGCTACCGTAATCACAAATTCAGACACCGTGTTGATAAAATTCCTTTTCCTTCCCAGAGTTTTTCCTCTGCGTTTTTGTTGTTTTCTTTTTGTATTCTTTCTTTTGCACTGGATGATATCAACTACTGCGAGATGTGATAGAGCCACTTTGGCGCCAAATGGCCTAGGCGCCAACTATAAAGGTCAGAACCGTGATCAGGGCCGTTAATAACCTCTATATACAGACTTTCAGCGGAATTTTTCTCCTCGAGCTGTTCGAGCTATGATGGTTGGTCTTGTTGAACTGGTGGCTATCAGTATCCTGTACAAGTAGTTATCCAACTTCGATACCTGGACCTTTCTATTTACTAGTATATACCCTCATAACTAACAACTACAAATTTTAAAAAGGGACATGTATATGTATTGCACAATATCTACCCTGGAAAGTTAAAGTGGAACCAGTTACGCTGGGTGCGCTGATCGGGTGCCACTGCCAACCAAGTGGTCGGTCCATTATCACCAAAACCTCCGAAAATTTTTTTGCTGGAAGTTCGTATACAGGAGTAATTGGTAGCCCCGCTCACGATTCTGACACTTATTTTATGCGCCGAGGCCATTTGACGCCAGCATGGCGCTTAACAGCCCTGCGTGCGGGTTGACAACGATTTCAGTGCAAGAATGCTCTTGCAGCAAATCGGCGATAGGTTGCGCCGTGGTCAAAAATGAGTGTCGTACTCGTGAGTAGGGCATCCAGTCATCCCCGTAGCCCAACTTTCAGCAAGAGTTTCCTCAGTAATGTTTCGAGAGCGCAATAGTTACGTAGGGTCGACTCGTGAACTTTGAGTGTACAGAATGAGCTCTTAAATGGCATATATCCATGTTATATACATCATCACGCACGCAGGAACACAAGGAGACGGAAATCCGAAAAATGCAAAAAGTATCCGAAAAATGCAAAAACTTTGCCGCCAGGGGATCCGATCCACAAACCTCCTTCTCCATAGCCACCGCACTATCCACCCGCCGTCGGTAACTCTGGTACCACTTCTCTCCATGCACTTTCTTTTTGACTTTATTTTGCTCTCTTTTCGATACATAGTGAAGGAACACCTCATAAACTATGCACTCTCAAAGTTACAGCTACAACAGAGCCCAATAAGACGGTTAAAATCGCCCTTTCTTGTCAAATTGTTTTCACTCAGTTTTTGGCCTCCCCAGAAGCAAAAATGAAACCCATTTTTGTGATCCTTGTATGGACCCCTACAACAAGCAACAAACCATTTCCAAAAAGCGCGCCACGACCTGAAAGACCTCCCTTGTCAGTGTTGCTGGACACTCTAGTATAGAGAAATTGCAAGACAGCTCGGACGTTCGGCGACGTGCGTTGGTAAATACCTCCAGAATCCTGATGGCTACCATTCAGCACATATTTCGGGGCACCCACGATCTTTCGTCCGCGAAAGACATCTGAACTTTGCGCGTGCAAACATGGCGACGTCGTGGGACAAGGTGCAGTTTCTTGAGATATTTGTAAAATCAGAAAGGCAACATCTTATGCGCATTTCTTTCTTAGGTTATCTTCACTGATAAGAAAAAGTCAATCTCGACGGTCCAGATGGATATCAGCATTACTGGAAAGACCTTTGTAGCGATCCGTTGGTGTTCTCGAGACGAAATTTCGGAGGCGCCTCTTTGATGGTACGGGGTGGTTTTGGAAGCAGAGAAA